ATACATAATCTCTTGGACTTGACAAATGTTATGTATTAACGGGGTTTATGTACTAAACGAAAGTGTACATAACTTCCTTGTATACCAGAATATTTCACTTTTTTCAACTTTTCTGAGTGTTTCTTGCTGCCATGACTAGGGAGCGAGATATTCTTGATTCCCTCGATATAACATAAAAATTATGTTCTAACGGCCACAGTCAGCGAAGATTCTACAGTTTACATGATACATGTCCAGCCGCGCCTGTACAGTCACTCGAAAGAAAACAGAGCTTTGTCGCTTTGTGATGTGCGCTGTGATTTCTAAGCTAATTGCGTCCACAAGTAGAAACTAGAACACGACGTGCCTCCACTGGAAGGCCAAAAGACCAACAAATTATGTACTATTGAGGTAGGAGGCATGCGGGTATGGAGAAATGTTATGTACTAACGGGGTTTATGTACTAACGAATTATGTGCTAACCGGCAAAATTTGTATGGAAGTGACCACGTTTCGTCCGGGACTTGAGATTTCTTATGTACTAACGGGGTTTATGTACTAACCGGACTCGTTTTAACGGGGGACGACCTGTATACTAACGGGTGCATGAATTACACACATGCACGCACATCGTATTACGCACACCTGGGTTACCGCCCCATTGCAATTGAACACAATTCCGGACACTTGATGTTCGGCTGATCAGTGCTCCTAACTGTATGCATATCTGCAGTACACAAGCTACGGACACTACTCTGCACTACAGTGGATGTCTATAGTCTGTTTCAAAAAGATTTACAATCAGGTTTGGGTCTTAAAAAGTATGAAGATAAGGGAAATTTGGACAACAAAGTACATAGAATGGCTTGTTAGGACACGGCAAATTGTTCTGTGAAGGTTTCGGAACAATTAGACCAACCGTTAAGGAGTTAGAATTTCGGCCAGGTTTCCGGCCTTTTCCCATGGTTTACAATTTGCCCAGGAAGCCAGTATCGATTTTTTATCAAAACCCACGATTTATCCTTTCCTTTTTGGCCTTGTGGTTATGAATGCTGTCTGCTGACCATGAAGTTGTGAGTTCAAATCCCAACCTATCCTCAAGTCAAACTTTTTTTCATTGTTTGGTGATCAAGCTGGTACAAGACAAAGAAGATGGCTGCACCAAACGACTTGTTGTTGGAGGTCGCGCTTCCTGCCGAACTGACTGACACTTGACTGGCTCACGCCATGTGAACACACCCACAACACTGAAATGGTGTGAGTGAATATGGAAGTCATCGCGCTGTAGCTTTTTGAGATTTATTTTTAGTATTTCAAGATCGCCAATTTATTTGAATTTAGCAGTCAACGCCGTCTTCTATCAGCGTTCACAAGCGTCTGTTTTTCTCAAAATGTCGTCGAAGTCACACGGATAGCTTTGCCAAGTCATGGCCTTGGGAATGAGTCCGTGTCGATGTCGTTTTCGTCACACGGTGAGTAAATTGCATCGCAGCTCAAAGAAACTATTTTGGTCACAAAACGGATTGGGACACATGCCGCTCGTCAACATTTACAACACTTTCGTTTCGACATGTCCTCTCTGACTCCATTATCGATACGAGGAAGAACTCGTTTGTTGTAAACCAGACGTACGTCCATGACTGTGTCAACGTGAGTGAGTTGTCATTTTTCCTGCTTTCGCGCGGAATATTTCTTCGAGTTCACCGTGAGTTTTTCCAGGTAGCGCTCGAGTGCTCATACGGTAAGACGCCAAACTCCGCGGGCGATCGCCAGGGGTTGTAAATCTTTTTGAAACGGACTGTATGCAATACGTAGCTACATACATTCGGGAGAATAAAGCAAGAGAAATGAAACACATGATACTACCCGGGGCTAATGTCGTCCTCCGAGATTCCCACAATAGAGCCAACGCAGACTGGTCGGAGGTAAATTATAATTAATCAAGGCAGATTATGTTTGGTACATACGGGCACTGTGTACTCGTCAAAGCAGAAACCTGAAGGATAAATTTAATGGTGACATTTGCCTCAACAAAACCGACAGGTAACAGCGTTAAAAGAACAGTAAGCAGCACACACTCTTCAAGTGCTTTCAGACTCTCAGTGATGACACATACCTCAACCTGCAATTCAGCACCGGCCTTTGTTACACCGTACACAGTTGTCATCACGGTCTGCTTCACACACTGCACACACACACACACACACAACATCAAACAAGAAGAGTGTATAAAAGACACAGCAGAAAGGCCATCAGTGACAAATAGACACAAAAAAACAGTACAAACATGTTACACACTGCAACGCATTGCCAATGTCGATAGGAATACACCACCACCCACACACACAGCATTCAATCAAAGTGGCACATATCACACACTGGATCACAAAAGGGTCTTTCTTCCATCACCCTATTCCCAGGTAAACAACACAGGAAAACTACTCTTCCTCTCACAGTGCCTTTTCCCAAAGAATATTGCTTCCTATGACTATCCAAGTGACTGTATCCATTATGACTATCACATGAAATTCTGATCATGCAATGTATAGCATTCGTTGATGAGAAATCATTCCAATTGCTGATGCAATATACAAGGTGATTTCCTAATGGTTCATACCTTTCGGACGGCAAACGGAAGAGACTTGCGCGCCAGAGTGTGGATGTTCGCGGGAAGCATCGGGTTGTCAATCTGGGAAAGGAGTTTCTCTTCGACCTGGAGCAAAAACAGGAGTGAAATTAGTGATTACTACCTTGAGCCACCAATCTAGACATCACGCGCTCAAGGTGACTTGATGGCATGTTCATATACACAGCATGCATAATACCAAGAGTGCATAAACAAGAGTATGCAACTGTGGTTATGGGTCTTACCGGTCAGTGCGCGGCGCGCTGCCTTCATTACGTAACTTGCCTTCATCACGCTCTGAAAGCATGCATTCAAACTCACAATTTCTCGTACGAGCCCATCCGCTTTTGCTCGATTCGTTCCAGTACCTAAGCGATCTCTGAATTCTGGCGCGTGAACTCCAGTTCCGTACGAAAGTTCATTTCAAACCAGAGGGAAAGTGCGGTGTTTGATTTTCCGCAGTGCGCGGACTGCAGCTGAATGATGTAATGAAGGCAGCGTGCCGCGCATCTGGCCCATAGAAAAGAGATCACAGTTAATTAGGGGTCAAACGGGTGTACCTTTAACTAACGAACGGGTAATTTTCTTAACGGGCGGGTTAACGGGTACCCTTTAGCAGCCATATTATTTTTTTGCGCATTTCTCACATAAATCATGATTTTAATTTGTATATTCTCAGGTTGTATTTTGATACTACATTATGATTCGCAATTGATTCGTGTATCATAATATTATTATGGCAATGAAGGTTCCAAATGAATGTCATCCGTGCATTTGCCCATGTACATAACTTCACAGTAACTTACAATCGTACATGTAGATGGTCCTACAAGCTACATCATGTATTTTGATACATGTACGCAAATCAACTGCAGATCGATGTGATTCAAGCCATGCAAGGACAGAGTGGTTTAGCAAAACTTCCGTGATCTCGCGCAATCCTATTAAATTTTGCTATGTTCGCAGAGAACTGGTATTAGTTGCATTATTATTATTATTATTATTATTATTATTTTTTCTTATTTTGTTAGGGATTTCCCAACAGGCAATGTTGCCTTTTTACTGGGAACCCTAAATGAGACTTTGTGTGAGCGCGAAACAAAGCAGGCGACTCGGCCAGGCGACAAGATGGAGGCAGCGCATTCCACCTGTCGGCACCAAGATACGCAATGGAATGGAAACCATACCGGGAGTGGCAGGCAGGCAAGACAAGAGCAGCTGTAGCTTGGCCCCGAGCATTCAGAAGATGTTCGCGCCCATAGGTAGCTGGGGTGCCTGACACAGCTGATGTGCTGCTGGCCAGCTAGCTGCTAGTGCTAGCTTGTTGAACTCGTGAAATGAATCTTCACAAATCCGTAATCTTGTATGCAATATTTCGAACTACTTTTCAGCTCGTCGATTGAAGGAACAAACTACAACCATGAGTATCATACATGTAGCTACCACCTACGGACATCACCGTTTGTGACACTCCGACTGGTCACTCAGCCTGGTGACACTAGTTCATCAAGTACTGTGGCAGGTTCGATGTCGGAGAACCATCGTAACTTTCTAGTTACTCAGCTGCCACCTCGAACGAGTTTCAAGTCTTGCATTTTCTCACATCACAATCAAAAACCTCCACTGACCAGTACGAGGATTTTTACTTGCACTAGACTGGAGAGAACAACTGTCAAGTCTGTCTTTCAGCCTGCTCCTGCCTGATAAAGTCGAAAGCGGGAATGCACAGGAAAAAGGAAAAGAGTATCCGCACTCCTATTTTGAGTCTTGGAATACGATAGGATCACTTTTTTTTTTTTTTTTTTTTTACAAACGGGTACCCTTTTACTAACGGTACCTGAGATTAACGGGCGGGTACCCGGGTACCCGGTACACCCGTTTGACCCCTACAGTTAATACTAGTTGCATACTCTTGTTTATGGACTCTTGATAATACTCATAGTCCAGCATTTGATTCAGACTCAGCACATCACAATGTCTCAGCACATAGCGTGCTCCTGAGAGCCATACATTTAGTAGCAACCAGGGCACGGAGCACACTCCGTCTACACACACACACACACACACACACACACACACACACACACACACACACACACACACACACACACACACACACACACACACACACACACTGTCTTACCCTCTTGGCAACACTACTGTACAAATCCAACGAGCTAGGCTTGGCCGACAAGCTGACCAACTTTGCACCCTCCATGTCACGTCCCAGTGCAGAGTAATGCTGCATACCATTGCAAGAACCATCCTATAATAAAGAGAGAGAGAGAGAGAGAGAGAGAGAGAGAGAGAGAGAGAGAGAGAGAGAGAGAGAGAGAGAGAGAGAGAGAGCAAGAGCAAGAGCAAGAGAGAGAGAGAGAGAGAGAGAGAGAGAGAGAGAGAGAGAGAGAGAGAGAGAGAGAGAGAGAGAGAGAGAGAGAGAGAGAGAGAGAGAGAGAGAGAGAGAGAGCAAGAGAAAGAGAGAGAGAGAGAGAGAGAGAGAGAGAGAGAGAGCAAAAGGAAAGCAGAGACAACTTACTAAGACTGCAGCAAGGTAGTGGTAGCCAACACCAAGACGCCGCTGCCGAATACTCTATATGACTGTGTCTATTCGCTTGAAAGGGACTACATGTCCTGTGAACTAGAGTGACTCAGAGTAATAACTACTCCTACTCTGTGGCGAATACTGAACCCTGCATGTATACCCAGGTATTAGTGGGCTGTTTAAGTGGTAAGAAATCCAACAAAAGTAACGCTCCACCATGTGTAGCCAGTGCAGGCTGTCGTAATAAAACGACTCATCCGTGTTCCATTCCCGTGCATGGCACATGCATGGTGCGACGGCACAATGACAGCTGTCGCAAATCACACTGAGTATTACACGTGTTTGTTGATGATTCCTGGTTAGCTGCTAGCTTTTTCCTACTCGAAGATGTTGCCGCCGCGAAATCTGGGGGTTTGTGTTCGTCCTGGCGAAAACCGTGTTTTGATCCGTTGAGGGAGACGAGAGATACAGTGCGAAGACGTACGATCTGTCCGAGAATCGGCGAAGAAGAAAGCTTCGCAGACGACCCGTAGTGGTTGGGAACAGAATGGAACATATACCAGTCGATGCCTGTCATGGTAGGGATGACTGCTACGAAGTTTTAGCCCCATGCTCCCCAGCGCTTTTTAGCGCCCGACGATAATTACCAAATTTCATCGATTTTCCATGTGGATCAAAGCATAGTCTCCTCAATCTTCTCCAGTCGAGCTGAGTCTGGACGCTACAATGTCGAGACGCGAAAAGAGAACATGCATGAACACACAGGAGCATCACATACAGCTGCATTCTGCCTTGACGAAGCTGAGAACAACACCAGCACCACGCATTTGGAAGACATTTCGAAGAAGACGAAGAACTACATATCTGCGTTCAAAAAAGCCTCTGCACTGTGCAGCATCATGCCAGTATGCATGCGTGCATGCGCGAAGCACGCGGTCCGCGGATCAACTTCGTTCAAAAATTATTGTGCCACACGGGTTGTATGATTTGTGTGCGATCATGGCCTTTCTTCTTGACAAACAAAACTGAAGTTTTTCGATCTTCAAATCGCCATAGCGTCCTTGTCATGACTCCAAATCAGCTGAAACTTCGCAGGAGGAATGAAAATGCCATGCTGAATCGATTGGTACCATTTTCGAAGGGTTTCCTTGAAAAATAAAATTTAGCCTGCACTGGCTACCATGTGGGGAGGGGGTTGCAGTTGACATTCTAGAACATGATCTAACAGATGAAACTGAACAGTCACCAGGACTTGTTTAGAGCAATAGGACCGTGTTCACTACTAGTACTACCTACCTGATGAACGGGCAAGCAGGATACATAGGTCTCCGGACAGCCTGAGCGCAGCGCATCGATGACTTCATAGCACGTGATGAGGGCCTGGACTGGTGAGTCGCATTCCTTCCAGAACTGGTGACCCTGTGTGAGCGCGAGTGCGTGCATCAAGTCACCAGTGTACGGGGAAACAAACCATCTCATCAGCTAGCAGTCTCTCGGCACACGGAGAAGTGAGAAGAAGTACTAGAAATCAACTAATTTCCGTAAGCTTGCAACCTTGGTGAGCTGTGACAACTGAAAGACCCTCCCATTCATAAGCAGCAAACTTTGTTAAATTTGACTTGGGCCTGCTACCCAAAGGTATGAATGGTAGTGCGGCAGTTTTAAATGGTTTCCATCTCACAGAGGCAGTAGGCCTAGGTTCATCTCATCTAGAAAATGTCAAGAATGATAATGCTCAGGAGTCAGGGCCAAACGGCCATGAAGATGGTTGAGATACTGCACGGGAGACAGTTAACAGAACAGGCGAGAGCCACCTCAAAACACAGAAGGTTTCTCTCCTCTGGCACATGTAAGCCCCTACAGCTTTATCCAGCTAAATGCATAGAGCTGGCCCGGCAAGACAAACTGGCATTATAGGCATTAACGGCAGTCCTCTCTTCCGGATCAGGCATGATGATGGTGGCATACCTCGTTCGGTGCATCCACAGAGTGAATGATGTCGTCCATACGATCGTTGACAAACTCAATCTTCTGCTCACGTGATCGCCTGCACATTCACACCACATGATAAGTCAACAAGTGACAAGTTACGAGTACAGCAACCACAGATGGAGAAACACAAACCTGTTGTGCATTGTACAACGAGTTCATTGACCGCAGAGAACTCAATGTCACTGCAAACACAGTGCAGCAGTGTGCTGTAGGAGAAAATTAGAGTTGTCGTTCGAGACAATTGAACAAGATGGCAAAATACACATTACGCTTTTTTACACGAAGTAGAGTCCGATATTGCTTTTTCGCATGAAACTGCCGGTAGATTTTAGAAAGTGTTCAGGCAGTAAAGCTTGATGTG